CTGGGCAGAGGGAGAGAGAGAGACCCGGAGCGACAAGAGCGCATTAGAAGTGCGCTCAGTGCAGTTCCGACAAAGAAAGCAGCTCTCGGCACCACTTGTATTAAGGGCACCGATTACAACCCCTAGTGCTTCTTTGGGAAAAAGAAAAAAAAAGTACTTCTGCACAGTAGAGCTATTTAACTGGAGGGAAAAGACAGTTCCAGTTCTACGTTTTTTTTAAAAAGTGAGGATGGCCGCACATCGTGAAGAATGTAGTCAATGTCACTGGATTGTACAAGCGGCAATTGTTCAGCGGGTGTATGTTTTGCTGTGTGTATCTTCAACAATAACCAAATATTATTTTTTAAAAAGGCTACTCCTCCCTCTTTGGGGAAACTATTTCCTCCCTTCACTAACCCCCCCCCATAAACGATGGTAAAAGCACTTGTCTAGTCAAGTGATCCATCTGACAAATTACCCGAAGTGAGTCTCCACCCCTGTGTTTCTACCGTCTGACAGGTAACCCCAGTTTTTCAATACACAGCAAGTGAAGCCGTCTCCATTACGGAGCACATCAACTGTTCTATTTCTCTTGGAATAGGGACACCCTCATGGAGGGGAGGGGCCTGCATACATAATTAAAAATAAATAAAAAGTAGTAAACGGGAGGGGAAATTTTAAAGATACAAAACGTAAGATAAATTTGAATTGCAGCCCCTGACAATAAGAAGTCAGGTAAAGATTTTCACAGCAAATGTCGGAACATTGGACTCTGCCAGTGGGACCCCCGCTCACTGTGTTAAATAGGAAAGATGGAAAGGTCATAACGTGTTGAAAAAAATTTGCAACCTTCCAAGCCGCAGGAGATACAAAATTTTAGCAAGAGGGTCTCTGACCTTCTTAACCTTAGGCGAGTTGAGATCCACCCCCAGAACTCCCTTCCGCCTGGTATGAATGTAATTAAGGCGAAGCTGCACCGGTAATTTCTCTCCTCATTAACTTCCTGATTGGTTTCAGCCTCAGGATTCAGCCGGGCAGTAGCTTGTCACCAATTCCAAATGGCCAGTCGTTAATACTAATGTTTGTGTAACTAACTGCCAGCATCTGCCAGGGCTTCTTGTACAACAATAATGGTGAAAGGGTACATTAGTGCCCGTGTTAATTCAGCCTGTGTTCATCAATAGGAAAATCTATGATGTAATTAGCAAAATGCACTGGGAGCTGAGTGCCGAGTCGTTTGTAGAGAACTAAATCATACTGGAAGCTGTACTGGGTCCTGATGTGTTTGCCATCAATACTGATTCTGTTTGGAGTTTAATAAGGTATATTACCAAGCTGAAAAGAGACCTTTTTACAAGAGAACACTATTTACGCTTGTTACGGGGACTGGAAGAGAAGGCTTATGGCAGCAAATGGAGCCACACAGAAATAAGAGAACAGAGCTGAGATGTGAGAAGCAGACCTTTAACCGCTCCCCTGAACCACATTACTTCAGAATGCCCCTCCCTCAACTGTGACATATGGATAGACAGACATAAACAGATGGACAGCTTTGCACAGCTCCCCCAAGATCCAATAAGGAATGACCTGCAAACTTAGTAAGTGGATAAATTTCCAAACAAACAATAGGCAATTTCCTGATAAGCTATTACTTTTTGATACTGATGTTGTTTGATTTCTAGTAACTTAAATAAAAAGTAAGGGTACTAGTTCATAAGCTTTTTTTTTAAAGTAAACAGCCATTAAATCGTGCTTTATAGGTGCCAAAAAGCATGCACACATAAACACACATATAATAGCAACCTAAAAAAACTGGGAACCTATAAAATCTGAAGCCTTAATTTTATGCCGCTCATAAAGACCTCTTCCTCAATTTGAACTGTTACACAGATTTAAAATACCCTGCCAATCCAAGGTGCTTTATGAATTGTGTATACCTGCATGTACCTGGATGCTGTATATACACAGGAGTGTTTTCCAAAGCTGGTGGACTGTGCTCTGACACCATGTTACCTGTAGATCTGGAATCCACTCAGCGCCTCCTGGAGAGCCTATGACTTAATCTACTCCGAGGGCCCCAAAGCCAGCCATGGAAGTGTCTCTCTATAGAAGCTAGGGTCAGGAAGTGAGCAGTTTACTGAGGACTCCTAGTACGCCACACACTTTAATGAGGAATTTAAGCCTGAAACCATTTATCATGAGAATGACTCTCCTGATGTCACACTGGGGACAGAAGCTGCCCAGGCCCAGCGCTGGTCAGCCTGGCTCTCCCGCCTTGCTTTCTACACTGCCCCACCCTAGCCTTGACCACCACATTTAGGAACTGGCCACTGGACCTTCCTAATCCCTGTCTGAATTTAAGGGGGCAAAATAACTGACCTGTCAGACTAGTGCAGGGTCTATGGAGGCATAGGTAAATGGTCTCCCGGAGGCCCTGGGTGGTGCAAACGGTTAACATGCTCGGCTGCTAACCCAAAGGTTGGAGGTTCGAGTCCACCCAAGGTGCCTCAGAAGAAAGGCCTGGTGATCTACTGCTGAAAAACCTGCCACCGAAAACACTATGGAGCACAGTTCTACGTTGACACACGTGGGGTCGCCAGGAGTCAGCGTCAACTCCACAGCGCCTGGTTTTCAGATGTTCTCCCACCATGTTCTGGACCTGGGTCTGCCCTCTGCCTTCAGTTAGCACCTGACCTGGGAGATTCTCCCCCACTCCCCGCCGCGCTGAAGATGCCTGGACACTTAGCCCACTTGGGACCGAAAGGGAGGGGCGTTGACCTCTTGGGTTTCTTTGAGTTTGCAGAAGAGTAAGAGTTTCTCATCATGAATTGCTGGTGAACATTCCTTCAACCACAAATTCTTCTGCCTCGTGATAACCATTTGTTGTTGCTGGGTGATGTCCAGTCGATTTCGACTCATAGCGACCCCATGTGACAGAGTAGAACTGTCCCATAGGGTTTCCCAGGCTGTACAAATTTTAGGAGTCCTGGTGGCGCAGTGGTTAAGAGCTACAGCTGCAAACCAAAGGGTGGTTGGCAGTACAAATCCACCAACTACTCCTTGGAAACCCTATGGGGCAGTTCTACTCTAAAGGGTCGCTATGAGTTGGAATTGACTCGACTACAAAGGGTTCTTTTTTTTTTTTTTAATCTTTTCGGGAGCAGACTGCCAGATCTTTTCTCCCGAAGAGCCATTGGTAGGTTTGAACCACCAACCTTTCAGTTAGCAGCCGAGGTTCTTAACCTTTGCACCACCAGGGCTCCTTCATGATAACCACAGTGTTTGGAAACAAAATCACGTCCAAGCAGTATCACTTAGCAGCTATTTCATGTTGCACAATTAGAGCTCTCATTCCAGAGTGGAGCCACTGTGTCCTTCCCAAGGCAGGAATCTGGGAATAGCCCCTCTCTGGCGTTCTTTTGCCTTGTGGGCATTTTCTTGGAAAGTTCTGCTGAGACTTGAGGCCACAGAACACGTAGAGTGTTTCTGATGCCTGCACGGACCAGGGACGCTAGGAACTCACTTCATGCATGACTGCACTCCACAGAAAAGGTAAATAAAGACATGAACTCAACCGGTTTTGAAGAATACCTGTATTTTTTTTTTTTAAGCATTTCACCACTCAAAATTTAAACCCATGTTATTTTTACCGTTTGTTCAAGGCTTAGCATTGCCTTTGAATAACAGACTGTGTCTGCTGAACTCATTTCGTTTAGCACCTCATCAAAGTCCCAAATGCATTAAAGATTTAGTTAAGTATTTACCTTAATGACTAATAGCCAAAAGCTATTTTTATCCTTAACTACAGTCTAGCAAGGAACCTCCTCCATTTTAATACAGCTTCACTGAACTTCTTTGGGAGGGAGGAGGAAAGAGTAACAACGGATAATTATAAACCATTTTATATCAACTAAACATTCAAAAGTTAAAGTTATCCTTTTTTGCTTCCTAAGTTGACTTTCTCATGGGCTCTGCCAACAGGGCTGATTTCAACTCAAAAGCTTCGACTTAATCATTTTGTACAAAACGCTAATGCCTAGTGTGGGGGGTGGGGGTGGGGGGAAACAGATCCGCCGCTGGAAGCACTGGAAATTGGCTCAATCTTTCTGGACAGCAATCTAGTGACATGTAATAAGAACCGTAAAACTGCTCATACCCTCTGACCTGGTAATTCCACCCTGGGGAATAACCCCAAAGAAAAAAAAACTAATTGGCCCAGAGATGCTTGACACTCACTATTTGCATCAGTGAAGATGTTAGTGCAGGGCTCCTGCTTGGGGGTGGGGTGAGGTGCACTGGGGGTGGGGGCAGCAGGCCTGCAGAGCAATAAACAACAAAGGATTTCACTACCCTGGAATCACCGAAGAGCCAGAATCGACTCGTGGGCCATGGGTTTGGGTCTGTTTGTTTTTTATAATCACTGATAGACTCCCAGAATTGGTAGAAATGGAAGAAATGACTTCTGGGGACCCAAGCAGAGACTGAGAAGTAAGAAAGCGAAAGAAAAGCACACTTGGCCGTCAGATCTTTTTCCGGGCTACAATAAAGCGTGGGGTGACCTGCCGAGGCTGACCCCTGCTTGAACCAGCAAGCCCAGTATGTTTTCTTTCAAAGTAGCCTATTTGTCTACTTGAGCCAAAGGGCCTTTCTTTGATTATTATTTGAAAACTAACAAAAAAAAACCTTACATGTAATCACTCTTACCAATTTGGAAATAGAAGAGAAAAACTTAGACAATGATTTTCATGATGCTATTAGCCAGCAGTATTCTTTCAGGAAAATACTGTATATTGCCACCCCCACCCGCCCCCCAAAACAGTCTCTGAGAAACAGAGGAAAATCCACTCTAACTGCTAAATCTTTTGACATTGCAGAGACCCCTGACTTTTAACTTGAATGATCTGTTGGAAGTCAATGGACTGGAACGAATAATTCTCTCCCAGGGATATGAGAAAACAGGATATTCATGGTCAAGGGAAAAAAAAAAAGTCTCCCTCTCTGTGTTAAATGCTGTTAAACTC